GGGCAGGGTGTCAGAGGCTCTGGCCTGGCTGGAGGGCTCCCGTCCCCTGGCCCTGCCCCTGCCCCAAGCCCACCTGCGTCTTGGCCCGACTGGCTTGGCAGGTGCGGGGGCTGCTCCTCTTGGCTGCTCCCCATCGGTCTTTTGTGGGCCCAGCCTATGAACGGGGCGGGGTCCGAGGGGGTGGCTGGGGGAGGTGCCCACGGTGAATCTGGCCATCCTGCCCATTTTTAGTAGCCCCTGGGCAGTACCCCCGGCCGCCTGGGCCCATCTCAGTCCTGACCAGTGGGCCTGAGCCTATCTTGGGCAAGAGGGGAGAGTCATCACCAGCCAGGGCCGGCCTTGGAGAGGGCAGGGTCCCTGCTTACCGACAGGCTGGGGGCTCCGTGTAGGGGGGAGCTAGGCTGTGAGGCTGCAGCTGGGGGGAGACGTGGTGCAGGCACATGCCCAGGAGAGTGGGGGTCACAATGTGTATCAATGATGTCATGGGGGACCCATGTCAGGCAGGGGAGATGGGCCCAGGCATGTCCTGGACAGTGGCTGGGTTCTGGGCCAGGCAGGGGCAGTGCCTGCTACGGCTGCCCCTCGTGGTGGTTCCTCCAGACCGTGGAGCGCTGCTGTGTCCCCTCTCTGTGCCTGTTCCGACCCCGGCTCTGCTGTCCTCTCTCCTGCTCAGCTGGCGCAGACCCCACACCCAGCGCCTGGCCTTCTCCTGGCCCCCCTCCCAGTGAATGGCTATATGTGGTCCCCTGATGGGAATGCCTTCCCTGGGGATGGGGTGCCTGTCCCCAGGGAGGCACTGGACAGGCCCAGGGCTGCATTCACCTGGCACCCGGGTGTGGCTCCGCCGGACCCCTGCAATCCTGGACCACTTGCCCCTCTTCCTGCAGACGTGGGTCCTAGTGGGTGGTCCCCGATGATAGATGAAGCGGGTGCGGCTGCGGGCTGCAGGTGAGGGAGCACAAGGGTGGGGGCAGCTCTGGGAAGACACCACCCCCACCCCTCTGTGGGACCTTTGGGCAGTCCTCGGTCCTAGCCTCAGGGAGCGGTGCCTCCCGGGGTCCTGGACTTGGGCCTCTGCTTGTGGCTGGCTCCTGTCTCTGCGGTGACCGTGGGGCCTGGTGCCCTGTGGAGGCAGGGTCATCTCGGCATCCTGTTTATTCCAGGCGAGGCTTTCCCTGCAGGGACCATGTGTCTGGCATTGCCGTGCTTGGCCTCGGTGGTGCCGGCTGTCAGGTCTCGGGGGGTCTGGAGGGGCACCCTGGCCCCAAGTGGGTACCCCCTCGGAGCTGAGGGTGGCACGTGTGTCTGAAGTGGGACTGGGCAGTGAGGTGCCTGGCAGCATCTTCACGGCTGCTCTGGGCCCTGTCCCGAGACGACGCCCCCTTTTGAGTGCCCTTTCCCTTGTGGCCAACTTGGGGCCATTTCAGGGAATTTTAGCTATTCTTTGATGAGTCTGTCCCGGTTTGGGGGCTGCTTGGGGGGTGAAGACTTTGGAAAGGATTGAAAAAGACAAACAGTGGGGAGGCAAGCACACTGTGGAGTTGGCAGGACAGAGAAGGACAAATCAGGTGTCGGCAGGTCACTATCCAGAGAGGACAGTCACTCTGCAAACACACCAGCTGGTCACCCAAGAAATACTTTAGTCCCCCCTTAGGAGAGGAGAGGAACAAACTGAATAGCTGTCAACACGATTATGGGAGGTGAGCTGGGGTTGGGGGGAGCCTCACACCTCTGCTGAGGGGTGGGCTGAGCACGTGTGGATGGCCCAGAGCCCCTTGCCCCAGCCGTGGCCCACCCAGAATGGGAGGGTTCCTTGGAGGGTGCTGAGTGTGGGGGCTGGACCTGGTCCGGCATGGCTGGGGCGATACAAGCCTGCCGAAAACAGGGAGAACGCGAGCATGTGGGTGCGTGCACCCCAGCCCCCTCCCATGTGTTCCGGGAACCCAGCAGCAAGTCCCAGGAGTCCTGCTGGGATGACCTCCCCCAAAGGTACTCATGTCCAATACCGTCCTTCAGCAGCTTGAGTGAGTGGCCATGGGGTCAACAGGCATCTGAGGGAGGCCCCCCAGGTGTGAGTGGGAGCGCCACGCGCACAGTCACGCACGTGCGCACAGGAAGTGGAAGAGGTGGGGAGAAACAGATGACCGGGACTTGAAGGAAGGCAACCCCTGGAATGTGCTGGGTTGTGAACGGGAGAGTCGTCGCCCCTGAGAGAGGGCTGGATGCCACCAGAACAAGGGGTCCAGACTACGAAAGAGCTCGTGGAAATAAAAATGCAACAGAAGGGTTGGAAATTCAGGGCAAGGAGATTGTCCAGGAAGACACAAACATGGGAGTGGGGGGGAAATGGAGTTAAGCTGGCATCTGTGGGGCACCCGGCACCAGACTGCCAGGAGCCCTGAGAGGCAGAAGGGTCAGAGGGGCTACATCCAGGGCCCCTGGAGGAGCATGGTCAGAGAAGTTCCGGACATTTCCCCACAGGGAAGTTCCTCAGCAGTTCGCCTAATCTCTCTGTGCCTCTCTTTCTTCGCCCGTAAAGCAGCCCCATCAGGCTGCTGTCCCTGCTGCGAAGACAGAGGGCTTATTATACACATGACACGTGTCAACGTGGGCTAGCGGTGGTAATGGCGAGGAGGACGTGGCGACATTCGGGCACTAGAGAACGGCCGGAAGAGAAGCAAGTGCACCACGGGGCGGTGGTCGGCTCCGGAGGGAGCAGAGCGTGTGCAAGCCGCGCCTTCCACCGCCCAGAGTGGACGGGGAACTTCCGCAGCGGATCTGGAGGCTTGGCAGCGTGGGCGCACTCTGCAGAAGTAAGCGCGGCCGCCACGCCTCCACCTGGCTTTCCTAACTCTGTGCGGGATCCCCCTCCGCCCTGGCTTTCTGCAAGTTCAAGTTATACCGCTTCACTTTTAACTTAGCAGGACCCACATTGGTACCTGCTTTTGCTAACGGAAAGAAGTCCGAAGAGGCTCTTTGCCTTTACGGACCAAGGCGAAAAGAGAAAATAGCGTTCAGCGGTTTGTTTTGCAGTGTGCCCTTACAGAGGCAGCGGACAGCTGGCCGGCCCGCCCAGCTCCTTCCTGGGAACCGCCCTCAGCACCCCCTGTACAGACCCAGAGCTCTGAGCCGTGTCTGTGAGGATCCGGGCTTTATCTCAACTTACGTTGTGCGTCCATTAGCAAGATGTACCCTAAGGTATCAGAAAAGCCCAAGAAAGGTTATTTTTTGGGTCTGGACGCGCTGACATTTTTTCCCATATGCCTCTTTGCGTTACAGCGTCTTGGCTTATGAAAGCGTTCATAGGGTTGCTCTACTGATGGTGGGAAAATTCATTTCTTGTCATTCAAATTAACAAAGGTTAAGAGAGAAAAAAGAAAAAAAGGCCCCCGGTGTGCACACAGGTGGGGACATGTGACGTCTGTGGCTGGCAGGGGCGTAACGGGTGGGGGTGGGAGGTGTGCATGTCAGACCTCCTGGCCCGCGAGCCTTCTCTCTAGTGCCTGCACTTGTCAGAGTGTCATTCTAAATACAGATGCAAAGCTTTATGCTCAAAGACGTTCACGGAACGCATTTATCACAAGAGTCGCAGGATGGGAGCCCCCCACAGCAGAGGATGGCCCCCACATCACGTGCGGCCTGCGGAAGCCTGGGGCAGGTGAAAGCTCGACTTTAGAGTAAATTTTGAAATAAACTTTTTACCTGGTCAGGTAAAAAGACTGGCAGGAAGCGGCACCCCGGTAGAGGATGGAAGGCAGGCCCTGGCGAACCTGGAGGAAATGTTCAAGGAAACGAGAAGACGTCAGTGTCCTGCCACGCGTCTTCTCCCCAGACACACGTGTCATCGTGGGTTGCTCGGGAGGTGCTGACATTGTTTGATGGGCTGGTGCCTCCCGGCTGGGGGCGGGCTGTCTGGGAGGACGCCCTGTGGGGAATTGGCCCAAGGAAGCAGACCTGGTCCTGGGCAAAGGGGCTCGTCCTGAGGAGCCAACCCCCGCCCCCGGAGACAGGCTCCTTTTGGCCCAGACTGGGGGTTTGTGACCCTCACGCTGTGGTGCTGGGGGGGTGGGCCCTCTGCAGAGGGGGCTCATCTCAGCCAGGACGCCCCTCTCCCCACCCTCCTTCATGTCCCTTCTGCTCTTGACAGAGAGAACTGAGAGAACCCACAGGGTCCTTGGCAGCCAGGTGGGTAGGGGACATGGGATGGTGGCCCCAGCCCTCACACTCAGCGAGGACCTGTGCCGGTGGCCCGCCTGTCCCTCTTACCTGCCCAACAAGGTGGTGTAAGCCCTCTGCCGGGGAAACAACAGTGGTGGCCTGGCAACCGTCTCTGGGCAACAGCCACCCAGTGGCCCAGAGGCAAGCAGGTGGGAGGGGCAGGAGGCCAGGCTCCACGGGGAGCTGGGGGGGGGGGAGGGCTTTGGTGGGAGGTGGGGTGGGGCTATGGCTGGAGCAGGGGCCTTATGTGCACAGTCCCCACACGGGCCTTGCATCCTTCACACGATCATCCCTGAGCCTTCTGAAGACCCCAAAACCCACGCCCGGAACCCCAGACCCGACCCCGTAAAGGTTTTCGCGTTCCCTGTTTTACGTGCTCTGTTTCATCTCCGCTTACCACAGCCTCTCATGTGGTGTCCACCGTCCAGCCACGTGGCCTCGCCACCCTCCAGGGTCTTGTGTGGGTCAAGGGCGTCTCTGCTTAGGGTGCCTTCACTTGCTTCTTGCAGGGCTGGATGGTGTCCCCCCAAATGTGTCCATGTCCGAAGCCCCAGAACCTGCAGATGTGACCTTACTTGGAAAAAAGGTATTTGCAGATGTGATTGAGGGTCTTGAGATGAGATCCTCCTGGATTATCTGGTGGGCCCTAAATCCGATGACCAGCGTCCTCAAAGAGGGAGGCAGAGAGAGGAGACCCAGGAGAAGTCACGTGAAGATGGGGGACAGAGGCTGGAGTGGTGTGGCCACCAGCCCAGGGACGCCTGGAGCCACCAGAGGCCGGAGGAGGCAGGAAGGACCCTCCCCTGGAGACTCCAGAGGGAGTGCCCCCACCCCCCACCTTGATTTCTGACCTCTGGCCTCCTGAGCTGGGACGGAGTGCATTTCTGTTGCTTCAAGCCCCCCGGTTCGTGGCCCTTGGAGGTTAATATACCCTTTAAACCGCTCCTTACTTTGGGTGTCCTGTGGACAACCCCCCCCTGTGGAGAGGCTTCCCTGACCCCACGCCGAGGCTGGTGCACTCCCAGGCTCCTCGCCTGCCTGTGCTGGTACTGGGGACTTTCAGGGGTCAGTCCTGCTGGACTGTGGTCTGAGACTTTCTGCCCCAAGGTGGCCGTGGGTCAGCCTGGAGGGCAGAGAGCTCCTGCAGCCAAACCCTTGACCTGAGTGATTAGGGCTAGTGGCCGCCAGCCTGGGCCTTCCAGGGGCAGCAGAGGGTGTGGGGGGAGTGGGGCCCTGGTCTTTCCCTTGGCCTGAGCCCAGAGCCCCCGTACTTGTCTTCCCTCAGGAACCAGTGTGCCCCTCTCCAGTTTACTTCCAGGGGCCCAGACCCCTTGGAGGGCCAGCCCACCACCCTGGGTCCCTGTGGGCTCTGGGAAGGTGGCCCCTTGCCTGCACTGACACAAGAGCTCAAACTGCAAAACCTTGCCTCATAACCCGACAGACTGGATGGTGTGGGTGCCGCCCCAGCCTTTCCCACGGTGGTAATGGCCTGGGGCTGGGCGCGTCACTGTGCCTCTGCAGCCCGGAGCAGGGCAGGAGGATCATTAACCTGCCATCCCCGAGGGGGCAGGTGGGCAGCTGGGGGCCTCTGAGCTGGGGTGTGTGCTGGGGGCAGGAGGCAGTGGCCCAGCCCTACCTCTGGGGCCAGGGAAAGTGGGGAAGAGCCCAAGCGGTAGGTGGGTAGTTGGCGCCTTGTCTGGGGCCAGGCTGTGCTGCCTGGACGCTGGGCCAAAGTCCTCCTGTCGGACTCCATGCAGCCTCTGGTACCTCTGCTTGGTTCCCGTGGGTGTCTGCATGGTCCCCACTTGGTCATCTGATCCCAGAGGCCTTCCTGGGCTGGCTTTACCCACCCCCACCCCCAACCACCACCTTCTTGATTGCTCTGGCTTTTTCAACACTGACAGCCCTCGTAGTTGACGTGTCCTGCTCCCCAGCCTCCTCGCACCTGCTACCCCCTCTCAGGGACGTTCCTCCTCTCCCCGGCGTCTAGAACTGTGCAAGTTGGCCACAGGTGCTCAGGAGAGACTTGGTGATGGAAGGAGGGAAGTGGGGGGTGGAAAGGAGGAAGGAGCAGGGAGGGAGCCTCCCCCAGAGCCCCCAGAGGTCCCCTCTTCCTGACTCAGCCTGCAGAGCACATGAGCAATGTGCAGACCCCAGGACCTACTTGGAATTCTCAGGGGGGAAGAAGGGGCTTTGGGGGGGGGCAGCCGTGAGACTGAGGGTGGGATCAGCATCCAGAAGTTTGGTTTTGGGGATAGCTCTAGACAGAGGACATCTCCATGATGTCCTTCTCAGAGGACTTCTCACAGGGGAGCAGCGGGGAGCAGGGTGGGGGCCTGAGAGCAGCTGAAGATTAAGGGCTGCCTGCCCCGATTCAACCCCATGTTGATGGTCTGGCACCTGGAAGCCACTCCTTGACTGGCTGCCCAAGCCTCCGAGATGGGCCTGTGGGGACCTGGTGGGGTCCTGAGCTTAGGCCCACAAAGCGAAGCAAAGGTAGCTTGTACCTCCCCGCCCCGCCCCTCGTGCTGCCTGGGATGGGGGACAGTGTGGCCCAGGGAGGTGTCTGGGTGCACTACTGGCCACGGGTGCCCTTCCCTGCTCCGCGTTGGAGGTTTGGGGGTCTGGGGCTGTTTCAGTCTTGTCCTCCTCAGGACCCCCCTGCCTGGCACAGGTGGGGGGGTGGTGAGGGCTCTAGGCGGGACTCCAGGGGGCTAGCTGGCTGCAGCCCCCGGGGGTTTTTCTGGCCCCACGGCAGTGCCAACGGCATGACGTCTGCCTCGCCTGCTCGCAGACCCTGACGGCCCCATCCACCCGTGGACCCGAGATGCACAGAAGCCAGCCACGTCCGCACCTGTCACCCTTTATTACACCGATAATCCATTATGGCTGTGTATCCATTTTGACCCCCTGAGGGGTCAGAGGGCTCCCCCGGTCTGGGTCTGGGGTCTGGAGGCTGGGGAAGTCCTGCATGGCCCATGCCCTGTGGGGGACACGAGGGCCCTGGGCCTGGGCAAGGTGTGCACTGCCTGGCTCAGGGCCACTAATGGGCCCGTAAAGGCCCACGGGCCTCGCCCTCCACCCGGTGTCCCTCCAGGGGCCCCTCCTCCAGCGGTGGTCAGGCCATGGATGAACGGCATTACCAGACAGTATTAGACAATGGAACCCAGATCTAACCGTGTCTGGTAAGACGCCCGTCGGCAGGCTGTGGCGCAGGCGGCCTCCGGTCAGCGGCAAACACTTCCAGGATGGCAGTGCCCTGCCCTGAGGAAGCAGTGAGACCCCCGACCATCCTGAGTCTGCAGAGTGGCCCCCAGAAGTCCTGTGACCCAAGGCAGCCCCAGCACGCAGCCCCCCAGGTGCGTGTGCCTGTGGGCGTAGCTACGGAGCAAATGATCTGGTTTCCCTGCGCTTGAACGTGAGTATGCTTACTGTGGCACCCTCCCCGGTTCCCTGAACGGCTCTTGGCTGGTTAATGAATAACGGTGAGGCCAGGGTCAGACCCCTCCTCCCTCCCTAGAGGCCGGCTGGAGACCCGGTACCGGGTGGGGTTCCCGGGGCCTAGGGGGCCGCCCCGGTGCAAGTCAGCTGGGCAGGTCCGGAGGCTGGCATCCCGGCTTCAGATCAAAAAGATAAGACAAAGGGCCATCCCGGCCTCGCCGAAGGCAGACAATGTTCCCATTCTCGACTGTGACGCCGTGGGGGCTGGTTGGGGGAGTGGGAGACTCTGTTCTCGTTGGGAAACAGCACAGAATGTCCACTGCCCTCCTACCGTGGGTTTGGGCCGGGGCACCTGGACACACCGTTGTCCTTCCTGCATCCCTGGTTGACCAAGAGAGTGAGTTCCCCTTTGTAGAGTAAGAGTCCTGGCGTGAGAGAGGCCACCGCCCGTGGCTGGCCTCACTTGACTGGGGCCTCTAAGGGTGGGGCCAGCTCCCACAGGACTGGCCATGGTGCCCTAGACGGCCACGGTGGGTGACCCTGTAGGGTGGACAGGAGGGGCTGCGAAGGGAAGGTGGGGGCTGCCTGTTGCCGACTCTGTGCCGGCCAGAAAATGCATTTCCTCAGGCGGCCGCTGACTGGGCCCAATCTCCACTTCTGACAGCCCTGAGTTCAGCCGTGGCAAACACACAGGGGCAGAGCAGGCGGGGCCGGGTGTGCGGGCCAGGGCCCCGGGACGAGGTTGGTGTCCAGGACATGACAGGTGGCCCTTTTCCGGTCCTAATGTCTCGATCCTCATGGTGTCTCCCCGGGGGTCAGAGCACCCTGAGAACTCAGCTCGGGAGGGAGCCAGGGGTCCCCAGCCTGGGCTCAGTGGTACGGCAGAGGGGTACCAACCTGCAGGTGGGGGCTGCCCCGATTCGCCGGGCTGCACAGCGGAGACAGGCTGTCTGCCCAGCCCTAAGCCAGCTCTGGGCCCTTGGCCCGTCTTTGGAGTCCAGGAGCTTAGGACGGTGTGTCCTCGGGCCGCTTCCTGGCAGGCAGGCGGTGGGTCACCTTTGAACATCGTTACCAGACAGTGTTAGAGTCAAGCCAAGAAATCCAGCACTGTCCGGTAAGATGCCCACAGAGGCCCAGGTGCGCCTCGGCCCGAGGACAGGGACAGACACCTGGTGCCCACCCGTGGGCAGGCAGGGTCCAGGTGGGAAGGGGTGAGGATCCCTGCGCAGGGAGGCCCGAGGGCTCTTCCCTGCTTTCTCCGGAGCGAGGAGACCTGGGGCTCGAGACCCAGGACCAAGGCTGGAGATGTTGCCAGTCTGCAAGGTGGCCCGCCTGCCCTGGGGCTGTCTCGGGGCCACCCCGAGGCCCAGGCCGGGCCTTTGCCCTCCAGAGCCCTTTGTTGTGGCCCGCTCAGCCCACACCTGCCGGGTGTGGTGGCAGCACCTGCTGGGGTGTTGTGGGTAGGGCCTGATACCTGAGCGTCCTAATCCAGGATCCCTGGGAGGGGGGGGTGGGCTCAGTGCAGCTGCAGGACACCTTTC